CCACCAATACCATCACCCCTTCTGCCTCCTGCCACCATCTCTTGCTTACCCATTCATAATCCTCTTTTTTGTGAATTATGTTCGACAACATGTTTAGCTAATTATAATTTTCATTTCACTTGAAATGATGGCTGGGTTCCACAATATAGGCAAGGGGTGAAAAGGGGAAGGGAAAATGCACACACACTCACTCTGAAAAAATCTAAACTAATAAATAAAAAATGAAATTATGTTTATTATTGCATTTTCGTTATAAATATTTTATGGGTTTCGACATCTGTCGGACAAATGAAAAATTTAATTACATTATTTTTTACAAAAACAGTATTGAAAGGTAATTAGAAATTTTCAGAAAAAATATAATTAATAAAAGAAATTATAGGTCATCCATAGGTGTGGATTTTATGAAAATATTTTTGAAGGTTCTCAGCAAGGAGTGGATTTTTTACAGATATTTTTTGTAGCCTACAAACAAAGTGTGGATTTTTAAAAATGTTTTTTTGCAATCTACTAACCCGGCGTGGATTAAAAAAAATATTTTTTGAAATATTTTTTGCCTACCAGAAAGACGTGAATTTTAAAAAATTATTTTTGTAGCCTATCTTCTAGGCGTGGGGTTTTTAAATTATTTTTTTGTTGCCTATCTTCTAGACGTGGATTTGTTTAAAATTATTTTTTGTTGCCTATCTTCTAGGCGTGGATTTTTTAATACTATGTTTTAGCCTATCTTCTTGGCGTGGATTTTTTAATTTTTTTGTAGCCTATTTTCTAGGCGTGGATTTTTAAAATTATTTTTGTTGCCTATCTTCTAGGCGCCGATTTTTTTAAATTATTTTTTGTTGCCTATCTTCTAGGCGTGGATTGTTTGAAAACATTTTAATAGTTTCTTTAATTTTTAGCATTTAAAAGACAGCCTATTTTTAGTTATCCAAGAAAATTATCTGTGTATGTGTATATTTTTCTATTATACACAAGTTTCCAGTTATATCCCACCCACACACACACATTATAGTTAAGTGAGTTTTAAACGATTATCCCTGGCTAAAATTGAATATCAGTGGCACATTGTGTGTGGGTATTGTGCGAGTATCTGGACTTGACGTTCGTTACGGTAGCCAAAAAAAGGAAAGATTCCTAGAATAACACACACATGGACATAAGTAACGAGTCCATACATCGTTTCCGATATCCGTTGTTGCAGTGAAGGCACGTGTTAGGGGTGTGTTTTTCCACCGAATAGCATGAGTAGATTTGTTCAATGAGATTAACATGAAATCCCAATAGGATTTTGGATCAATAACCGAAGAGGATATTGATTTGAAATATATATTTTTTATACAATAATAAAACTTGGTTGATAGGCTACAAAAAAATAGTTGCTTAAAATCCACGCCTAGTTGATAGGCTATAAAAATGGTTAAAATCCACGCCTTGTTGATAGGCTACAAAAATAGTTGTTTAAAATCCACGCCTAGCTGATAAGCTACAAAAAAGAGTTGTTTAAAATCCACGCCTTGTTGGTAGGCTATAATTTTTTTTTTTTTTAAATCCACGCCTAGTTGATAGGCTACAAAAAAGAGTTGTTTAAAATCCACGCCTTGTTGGTAGGCTATAATTTTTTTTTTATATGATGGGCTATAACAATATTTTTAACAAATCCACGCCTTGTTGTTAGGATTTAAAAAATTTAAATATTATTATTATTTTTTTGAAATCCGCTCCTTTTTGGTAGGCTGTAAAAAATATTTTTTTTTTTTAAATCCACGCGTATTAATATTCCATTTTTATTATTAAATCCGCCCTTTAAATTCTAACGGAAACGATCTTTTAACATCCACATCATAGTTTGAAAAGCACTGACTACGAAAAAACACAAATCCAAACAAACAAGAGCTTCATTATGGAGAGCATTTCCCTCTCATATGTTCAAGAGAGCTAACACTCTTCTGTTGGTTGAGTACTTCCTCCCCCACAACAGTTTCTAACGAAAACAAACAACACCGGAACTAACCTAATGAGTAGAAGAGAGAGAGACAGAGAGAGTATGTGTGTGTGAGTGTGAGAAAGAGTTGTTGTAGCATTCGTTTGGTTGGCGTTCGTTTCATCGGCATCGTACGTAAACATTGTTGTTGTTGGGGGTCTTCTTGTGTTGGTGTTGCTGTTGTTGTTGTTGTTGTGATTATGTATGCCCAATAAACAATATTTAATTGACGTATACAAATGATTAAAAATCAGCTGTTGTTGTTGCTGCAGCTATGCGGCTTTACTTTGTATTTGCTTTGTTTGATTTTGCTGAGTAGTGATTTTCTTGCCTTTGTGATTTTTTTGTAGTTTACGTTTTTTCGATTCATTTCTTTAAGTTCAAGGTTATTAAGGTAATTTTTGCAAAGGCATATTGGAATGGATTAATTAATTAACTAATTTGGAGAGTTCAAAATGTAAGAGTGAAAGTATTGTTTTTTTCTACCACATTTCAAATGTTGGGTATATTATTGGTTAATAGGTTGGTAAGGTAGACGCTTGGAAAAGGCACGTGTTTATTAGGGGGTAACGACAAGAAAAGAAATTTCTGGAATAAAATAAGAAATAACTATTTCTTTGGACAATTATTTAAAAATTATTAATAAAATAATAACAAATAAAAAAATTAATATAATAAATATTTTTTAACATACAAAATTATAAACTTCAAAAATCTTATTGGGATTTAAAAAAGATAAACGAATAAATATTTTATAAATTTTAAACAATATTAAGAAAAAATATTTTCTCTTAAAAATAATAATAAAAAAATATTTTCAAAATTTGCAAAAAAAAATTAATTTTTAATGTAAAAGAAAAATATACATATATTTTAATAAGATTCAAAATAAAATAATATGAATATTAATATAAAACTATTTCTAAAATAAAAAAAAAATTTTTTTATACAATTAACAAAAATATGTTTTCATTGTAAAAACTATTGATAAATACAATTTAGAAAAGTATCAAACTCTGAATAAAAATAGCCCTTTGAAAAAATCCACGCCTTCTAAGGAGCCCTTCAAAATATATTTTTAGAAAAATCCATGCCTTCTAAAGAGCTCTTCAAAAAACATTTTTAAAAAAATCCACGCCTTCTAAGGAGCCATTCAAAAAATATTAAAACAAACACGCCTTCAAAGGATCCCCTCAAAAAATATTTTTAAAAAAATCGACGCCTTCAAAAAATATTTTTAAAAAAATCCACCCTTTCTAAGGAACCCTTCAAAAAAAATTTTAAAAAATAATCCACGCCTTCTAAGGAGCCCTTCAAAAAATATTTTTAAAGAAATTAACACCTTCAAAAAATATTAAAAAAAAATCCACGCCTTCTACGAAGCCCTTCAAAAAATATTTTTAAAGAAATTAACACCTTCAAAAAATATTTGAAAAAAAATCCACGCCTTCCAAACAGCCCTTCAAAAAATATTTGAAAACAAAATCCACGCCTTCTAAGCAGCCCTTCAAAAAATATTTTTAAAAAAATCCACGCCTTCTAAAGAGCCCTTCAAAAAATATTTTTAAAAAAATCCACGCCTTCTAAGGAGCCCTTCAAATAACATTTTAAAAGAAAATCACGTTTTCTAAGGAGTCCTTCAAATAACATTTTTAAAAAAATCCACGCCTTTCAAAAAATATTTAAAAAATCCACGCCTTCTAAGAAGCCCTCCAAAAAAATGTTAAAAAAAATTCCACGCCTTCTAAGAAGTCTTTCAAAAAATATTTTTAAAAAAATCCACGCCTTCTAAGAAGACCTTCAAAAAATATTTTTAAACAAAAATTCAAGCCTTCTAAGGTGATCTTTAAAAATATTTTTAAAAAAATACACGCCTTCTGAGGAGCTCTTCAGAAAATATTTTTTAAAAAAATCCACCCCTTCTAAGGAGCTCTTCAAGAAATATTTAAAAAAAATCCACGCCTTCTAAGGAGCCCTTCAAAAAATATTTAGAAAAAATCCACGCCTTCAAGGAGCTTTTCAAAAAATATTTTTAAAAAAATCCACGCCTTCTAAGGAGCCCTTAAAAAAATATTTTTAAAAAAATCCACACCCCCTAAGGAGCCCTTCAAAAAATAATTTAAAAAATCACGCCTTCTAAGGAGCCCTTAAAAAAATATTTTCAAAAAATCCAATCAAAAATGTTTTTTAAAAAAATCTACGTCTTCTAGGGAGCCCTTCCAAAAATATTTAAAAAAATCTACGTCTTCTAGGGAGCCCTTCCAAAAATATTTAAAAAAATCCACGCCTTCTACGAAGCCCTTCAAAAAAAATATTTAAAAAAAACCACGCCTTCTAAGGAGCCCATAAAAAATATGTTCAAAAAATCCAGGCCTTCTAAGGAGCCTTTCAAAAAATATTTTAAAAAAATGCACGCCTTCTAATGGGGCCTATCAAAAAATATTTTTAGAAAAATCCAGGCCTTCTAAGGAGCCCGTCAAAAAATATTTCAAAAAAATCCACGCCTTCTAAGGGAGCCCTTCAAAAAAATATTTTTTAAAAAAAAACACGCCTTCTAAGAACCTCTTCAAAAAAACTTTTTTAAAAAAATCCACGCCTTCTAAGTAGACCTACAAAAAAAAATTTTTTTTTTTGATCCACGCCCTTAATCTCTTTTTTATCTTTTTTAATTATGCAATATTTTCGTAATTGATTTATAATTAGTTTTTAATATAAAAGAAAACTGTTCCACCCCTTACCACTCCTTTGAAAAATTATTATAAAATCATTCCATTATGTTAATCATTTGTTTTATTATTGATAACCTATCTTTAGTATCAATAGGGTGTGCCTGACAAAGAACGTTGTTATCATTGTTAATAATTTTTTGCTAAAATTAAACACAAAGAAAAAATTTATTTTTTTAGTTTTTTACAAAAATTTGTATTTATTTTTATAAAATTTTCTAAACTTAAAATTACACGAAATAATAAATTACAAAAAAATAATAAATAAAACCTAATTAAAACACTAGATTTTTTCATTTAAAATTACGAAAACCATTTGGCAGCAGATTATATATCGATGTGCACAGCACATGATCGCCAGCATGATTTTCCAACTTCTCCGTAGTACCCTCCACGGCCTTTGTGACATAAATGGGTAAATCGTCGGCAGCAAATTCCATAATAAATTGCCGGCATACACCACAGGGTGGTGTAAAAGCATCCTCCTGATAGGCTACCACAGCACCGGCACTAAATTCACGAAAACCTTCACTTACAGCCTTACACAGGGCAGTACGTTCGGCACACGAACCGGGTGTAAAGGCGGCATTCTCAACATTACAACCCGAAAAAATGCGACCACATTTTGTCCGAAAAGCTGCACCAACTTTGAAATTACTATACGGGACATAGGCATTTTGTCGAACCTTGTTAGCACATCTCAACAGCTCTTTGGAATCGTCATCTGAATTTGTAAAGAAATTGATTTTAGTTTAATTTTTCTTCTAATGTTTTTTTTCTATTTGATTTGGAATTTAATTTTTGTTATGAACTTACCCAAATCTTGATATAATTTAATCGTCTCCGGTATGTTGGCCTTTTTTAGACCTGTCACTTTGGTTGTGTCCACAATATCCATATCAATGACCTTGAATTCTATTTGTTTTTTCTTAGAATTTTTTTCTAAAATATCTATTTTTTGCAATTTTTTTTATTCCCAAATAGACTTTCTAATAATTTTATTTTTTGTCTGTACTATTTACGTATTTTTTTCTTTGTGTTTCTATTGTGTGAGCGCGTGACTAGTTTACCGCCTCTATACCTCTTCGACTGTCAACTGACAAATGGACTTAATTTGTGGCCGTTCGTTAGCATGAAAACTCAATCAAACATTTCAAACGGTACGGTACGGCACGGCACAACAAGAAACCCCTATTATCACACATATTGTCGAGTCGGTCAGTCATGAACGAGCAAACGAACAATACAATTTTAGAGGCTTTTCTATACTCTTTCACAAAATTGTTTTCTCAATGTCTTAATGGTTGTTTTTGTTTTGTTGTTATTGTGGCACCTAACTATTTGGTTTTGCTGTGGTTATTCTCCCTCAATGGGTTATGTGTTGTTGTTGGTGGCGATGGTGGTGTGTGTGTGTAGCGTTGCTTTTGTTTTCTTCTTTAAAAATAGACTAAACAACTTGCGTATGCTGCTTGCTTGCTTGCCTGCCTGTGTGTCTGCCTACCGGTGTGTTGTGGGAGAGAGAGAGAGAGAAAGAAATGAGATTAACGGAAATGAGATGAGAATATCCCCAACCACCAATTCCCCCACATAAACATCAAACAACCACTCGTTCATGTTTATGTTTGGTGAAAGTACTCACAGATAGCTTTCTCTCTCCCTATGCGTAGAGAATAAAATACCCCGTTAATGGTTGAAGAGAGAGAGAATAACGGGCTAACAAATAATCAATCATTTGAGAGGCAGTATACGCATTGATGTGTTTGTTGTTTCTTTATGTTATTAACAACCACCTAGGGTGAATTAATGATCAGCAGGCGTCAGATGGTCCATAAGTCAGCAAATGTAGGGAGGGTGGGTGTTATTTGTTTTTATTGTGAAGAAAGCAGGAGGGTTGCTACAAATATATTTTTTGGCATACAAAAAGAAGGTATTTATAAAAATATATATATAAATATGAATTTTTATAATTTTCTTCTTGGACTAATAATAGGTGTGGGTTTGTTTAAAAAAATATTTTTTTTTTTTTGACTTTTGACGAGGCGTGGATTTTTTAAAAATATTTTTTCGACCTTTGGCAAGGCGTCAATTTAACAAAATATTTTTTTTCGATTTTGGCAAGGCGTCGATTTAAAAAAAAAAATATTTTTTCCGACTTTGACAAGACATGGGTTTAAAAAATATTTATTTCAAACAAGGCGTGGATTTTTTAAAAATTATTTTTTCACATCTAAACAAGACTAGGTTTTTTTAATTGTTTTTTCACATCTAAATAAGGCTATTTTTTAAAAAATTATGATAGATACCAAGCAACGGCTCTGATTGGCTTTAACATGGCGAAGTCCAGGCTTATCTTGGTCCCTCTTTCATCTCAATTGTGGACACTGACCTCCCGCGGTGCCACCTGGGGAGCTCATCACCCGATGAAATAGTGAACTAATATTCATCACCCATAAGAACTATAAAAAATGGGTTGAGGCGTTGGGTTAGTTGCCCACTCTCGGAAAACCCAACCTACTATGAAAAAGCATAGGAAAAGGAAACCAAACTCCCCTAATGTTGACGATCCCCACAAACTTATAAAGGAGCACGATCTGCGAATCTGCACTTGGAATGTGTGCCCTTTGTACAGAACAGGCGCAGTGTTCGCTCTGGCGGATATACTCAAGAAGTACAAGTCCGATATTATTGCCTTAAAGGAAATGCGATGGAAAGCGACTGGCGTAAGTAAATCAGATGATTACGCCCCGAATTATAGATGCCATGAACCGAGACATGAATTTGGCTGCGGATTTATGGTTAATAGAAGAATAAAAGACCTCGTCTCCAGATTCACTTCAGTTGATGAGCGAATTGCTATAATCCGTATAAAAGCGAATTTCTCCTACATCATTCTCATTTGCGCCCATGCTCCGACCGAAGATAAAGATGAACAGACCAAAGACATATTTTACGAGCGCCCAGAAACAGCATATGATCGTTGCCATGGCCAGGGCAATTCTGCTAGGAGATTTTAATGCAAAAATCGTAAGGGAAATTTCTTTGGCCCCACCGTCGGAAAATTCAACCTCCACGAAGAAACATCAGACAACGGCATGAGGTTGGTTGACTTCGCGGCAGCAAAAAACATGGTAGTTAGCAGCACCAGATCTCGCATCTCGGTATACACAAGGCCACTTGAATTTCTCCCGATCGAACAACGAGAAATCAAATCGATCATGTTGTGATAGACGGAAGGCATTAATGCAGTGTTTTATACGTCCGATCGATCCGGGGAGCGAATATCGATTCGGATCATTACCTTGTGGAAGTCAAGGTACCATTACCTTGTGGAAGCCAAGGAAGGGGTATTTTTAAAAACTCCTCGTATCAAATAGTAGCAGTGAAGGGGATACCCCAGAACCCACAATAGATAACGGTATATACCACCTAGCCAAGATGAAGTCAGAATAGCAATCAACCGGCTGAAGAATAATAAAGCAGCAGGTGCCGATGGGTTACAGGCCGAACTATTCAAGACTGGTGGTCAGATGCTGCTAAGGAGCATGCACCAGCTGATTAGAACAATTTGGCTAGAGGAATACATGCCCAATGATTGGAACCTCAGCATCCTGTGTCCCGTGCACAAAAAAGGAGATCGCATATGAAGTGCTATCCAGCGTACTGTGTGAACGACTGAAGTCAATTGTCAATGACATTATAGGACCATACCAATGCGGATTCAGACCTGGCAAGTCCATCATTGACCAGATTTTCGCTCTGCGCCAAATATTGGAAAAGACCCGCAATCTACAGCCCTATCCGTTCAAAGGTGTTTAAAGCCATGTCTTCGTTTGGCATTCCTGCAAAATTAATACGGCTATGCAGGATAAGTTTAACAGGCACAAGATCAGCAGTTAAAATCGGAAAGGACCTCCCTGAGCCCTTTAATACCGAACGAGGATTCAGACAAGGTGATAGTCGTGTGTCGTGTGACCTTTTTAACATCCTGCTGGAAAAGGTCATACGAGAGGCAAAAGTGAACAGAAATGGCCCTCTGTACACCAAACAACACATGTTACTCGCCTACGTCGATGACATCAATATAATGGGTCGAACATTGCGAGCGGTAACAGCCACCTTTGAACAATTCGAGAAGGAGTCTGCCAAAATGCTCTGGCAGTAAATGGCAAGAAGACCAAGCTAATGGTATCAACACGCAAGACGTCCTGTAGACTCGGACTAACTGTGGAGTTTGAGCTTCGAGGTAGTCAAAAGATTTTATATACCTTGGCACCGCCATAAATAAAACGAATGACATCAGTTTTGAAATTCGGAGAAGGATTGTGATGGCCAACCGATGCTACTATGGTCTAAGTAAGCAGTTTAGAAACAAGGCCACCTCCCGCCAGACCAAACTCACACTTTACAAGACGCTGATACTACCCGTGCTATTATATGGATCTGAAGCATGGGTACTTGCGCAGGCAGATGAGGCAGCTCTTGGGGTGTTTGAAAGAAAAATTCTCCGAAAGATCTATGGGCCGGCGTCGAATGAACCACGAGCGTCGAATGAACCACGAGCTTTACAACATCGACATAGTTCAGTCGTATTGAGCTGCAGCGACTACGGTGACTAGGCCATGTTGTGCAAATGAATGGGAATGTCCCAGCTCAAAAGGCATATAAAAGCGAGCCTACTGATGGTTCCCGTAGAAGGGGAAGGTCACGAATCAGATGGAAAGACCAAGTAGAAAACAACATCTTGGAACGTGGTCTTTGGATTTGCGCACAAGACCGACGCGCTTGGAAACCTTTTTAAAGCTCGGCTTATGGAACAACCGTTCTGTAACAAGCCAGCTTGGTCTTCTCGTCGGTCTTCTCGCCGTTTATTGCCAAACCCACTTTGGCAGGCTCCTTCTCAATTTGTTCAAAGGTGGCTGTTACCGCTCGCAAATATTCGACCCATTATATCGATGTCATCGGCGTAGGCGAGTAACATGAGTTTGGTGTACAGAGTGCCTTTTCTGTTCACCTTTGCATCTCCTATGACCTTTTCCAGCAGGATGTTAAAAAGGGCACACGTCAAAATGTCACCTTGTCTGAATCCTCGTTCGGTATTGAAGGGCTCCGATAGGTCCTTTTCGACTTTAACTGCTGACCTTGTGCCACTTAAAATTATTTTTTCAAATATCCACAAGGAGTTGATTTTTTAAAAATTATTTTTTCAATTATACGGAAGAATATTATTTTAAGATAAATATTTTTAAAAATAATAAAAAATATTTTTTAATATTTAATGTTTTTTTATTTATTTTTTTCCTATTATTAATTCAATTTTTTCTCTTGTTCTTTCTTTCTTTTTCTTGCAGGTAATTAACATACCAACATTCATCATCAGAAAACATTTTGGGAGCTAATTGGATTACGGTTTAACACTTAAAAGAGCTGCATAAATTTTTGTGAGAAGTGGTTATTGTTATTATTTTGCATAATTTAAAACAATATTATTGTGAATATATTTTCGATAAAAAAACATACGTCAGCATCTAACTGTAAATATTCATTAGTAGAACAAATCACCGCCACTACACCCAGTCATACCAACCAACCCACCCATACCAACATTCAGACCGGCAGCCAGTAAGCCATCCAACTAGACAACAAACAGCTTCCAGTATTGAAACCCTGCTACTTCTCCTCATCACCACCACCATCATCTGGTTGTTATAATTTGCATTTTTTGGTTTGACGTTTTGATAACAATAGTTTATTTTTGTTGTTGTTGCTTGTAGCTATTAGCTAACCCCCCCATCTACATATTTGTGTATAAAATTGACTACTTGTCACCTGTCAATAATTCTAATTTTTATCAGTTCCCATCCAACACCCCACCTAATCTCCATTACAGGAAAATAATTTCCATACATAT